TTACTTGTCATTTTTTATTCAATTCAAAGTTTGAAATCAAGTTATCTCGTGGTACTGCACCAAAATTACCCCACTGTAAAATTTAAAAAATTTGTGAGATAGCTAGCTATAATGGTAATTAAATAATGTTTACATATGTATAAAAGCCTACATTAAAATCTGTCATATAAATTGGTCTCTTCATTAGAAATTAGCCTACTGATTGCCACCATTGATGGACAATTTTTTTTAATAATATTAAAAATATCTGTATGACATTATATTCTGCAGTTCTTCCCTGTTGTACAGAATATCTATACTTTTCAAATGATCATATCGAAGTTAGAAATTCAAATATTGTGACAAAATTAATTTTGTAGGGTGCCACAAGTTTGTTAAAATTTCCAAAGGGTGCCGCGACTGAAAAACGGTTGGGAAACACTGCTTCAGACCATGGGTGTTGTCTTTGTCACGCTTGGTAATTTTGCTACAAACAAACAAATGAACATATAAATAACTAAAATAAAATAATAAATGTGTTGATGTTTTCTTATAAGCACTTTTAACAGACTAAACTACTACAGCATATTTTAATGTGACTGTGAATGCAGTGTTAATTTCATTCAACCTCTGATACTAAATTTTGTTATGAATTTTTAGTTCAATAACTAAAGTTGGTTATGAATTTTTAGTTCAATAATTTGTGGAGTTATCCCATATAAATAATGTAACATTTCAACATTTATTAATAAATTGAGTATACATCTTTTATCACTTTTTTGCCGTTTGCAGTTTGCATTGCATATATTTTGAATTTTTAATCAAATTCCTGTTCATCTGAATACTTTTTAATCTAATCAAAGTCTAATGAAAACTCAATCAAGATGTTAAAGATCAACACTGCTTCTGGTTAATAACACATTTTTTAAAAATGTATGCTATTCTGAACATAGCCTATGATTGTATATGTGCATGTGGGTTTGTGAGAGAAATAAATGAAAGTAACAGAAAAAAAAATACATTTATAATATACAAACATATGGAAAGCGTTTGTGTGAGCAGATGCAATCTTTTGAGATGCTCCCTAAATCTATTCAGATTCAACACACCCACTTGTCAATCTTATATTTGCATGAAAGAAAAGGGTAGTCATTTGTAAAAGGTCATGTGCTATTTTACATGTTATATAATGATTTTATTTTCATAGATTATATGTTATTAATGTATTTGAAGTCTGTAAAAGTGCAAATTGATCTGACAATGTAAGTAATGGTGTGAAAATAGATGCAGACTGTAAGAATGAACCTTGAACTGCATTGATGAATGGTTTCATGTTATGCTTTTAAAGTTGAACGTGTGTCTATAAACATACAGTAAGTCATTTTTTCATCCTACAAGATTGTTTAGATTATGAATTCTCCTCTTTCTGCTCTTTCAAGAAATCTTACTGCAGCACGGAAGACATCTTTCAACATATGTTTCAACTTTGCTGACAGCTTCTTTTTTTTCATGTCTTGTTTAAAATATCTAGTTCATATCCAGCTCTGGAAAGCGGCACCAATTCACATATAATGCTTGGACAACAGCTGGGAATATTATCATCTTGCCGACCACCAGCATCACATTAACTGAGGACATGAATTCTGATCAGCTGACCTTGGATAACCTGCAATGCTCATTGCCATCTTTAGCACGAACCACAGGTTTAATGTAACAGAACTGAGTTGCTAGATTTTTCCTCCTGGGTCAAAACTGCTGAATCAGTCACAAATGCATTTCTAGAGGGCTTATAATATTCCCCAAGAGCAAATATGAGTCTCAATGGAACTATAAACATTAGCCACCCATATTTTACCAATAGACAAGCTGGTAAACAAAGGCAAGGCAATTATGTTGGGGGGTTTTTTTTATCAAAAAAGGCAAGCACAGCATTTTATGACCGGATGAGCATCATTAATATTAAATCAGATTTACTTTTATGCATTTGACAGATGCTTTTATCCAGACCAAAAAAGAAGATGATACATTTAGTCCTGGTTCACTTTGCGTTCACACTGTCATTTTAACATCAAACGTCAAGAATCAAAACAAAAGGCATAAGGATATGGTCACAACAACTTTTATGACATAAATTTTGCAAACTTACAGAACATCCAATACAACACTGTGATCTGGGTTAAATGCGCGATTGTGATGGTATTTTTACAAGCTTATAACTAATGAAAAGCTTATAAAATGTGTAAAGGTGTGAAAACAGCAGCAGGAATTTCACCGTTGTAAGGAGACGGCGGTTCTGACGCCGCTAATGAGCAGCATACTGTAGCTCCTATGACAAGAAGAACCAGGTATGCTTGAGCATTCTGTCATTTTTAAGGTTGTATCTTGTGACATCACATCCTGTTTTTGGTTCATGTTGCATGTATTTCAGTTGAACCGCACCAGAGTTTCTTTAGAAGCAGGCCTACCTTTTCAGTGGTTCGGATGGCAGCATTCACACTTATTCAAATGAACAGATAATTTGCACCAGATTTAACCAAACCCGCCAACTGTGAACACACCCTTAATGTATTATAAAAATGGATTCAGTGTGGTACTTTAGGTCTGAGTTCTCTGCAGCATCGTAGCCCATCCAATTTGTTTTCCCTGAAGTTGGCAGAATAAATGACAATACAACTACAGTCCCTGTACTAATTGAAATCTGGAAGTGTTTGGCTTGTAGATTTCACAAATGAAACCTGATACTAAGAGGGATTTGCATTCTGGCAGGCTGTGATAAGTGCCATAGCAAAAATGCAAACATCTGTGGAGGATTTTGTGCAAAACAATGCTTCTTATCAAGTTGCAGTGGACAGAACTGAGTTGTTTATTTCAAAATCATAACTCACAACAAAACATGCCCCATGTTAAGTCACATGTATTGTATATTACAATATTATGTTCTTATGAGGCCATATATAATGGATTTCCTTGGAATAACTAATTTTTTTTTTATGTTAAGAAGTCTCATATTCTCATTAAGGCTGCTTTTGTTTGATAAAAAAAATACAATAAAAACACAACATAGCTGTTTTCTATTTGAATACATTTTTAAATGTAATGCATTCATGTGGTGGTAAAGCTGAATTTTCACCAGCCACACACATACACACACACCTTACTAATTGAATAAATGCATACACTCGAGTAGATAAATAATCCTCCGTACCCATTTGAAAGAAAAAATCCACAAAGACAATTCAGCTTCTTCATATTTTAATTGCATATTTGGCATGGGTTCTTCATAATTATCTCTATTGTTCTTTGTAATCCACAAGGTCGTTCATGAGAAGATGGCCAGCATTTAGATAAATGAACATGCCAATTGTTCTAATGGCATTTATATGGCAAGAACCAAATTAGAGCATCAACAGCCCGCATTTCTTTTTTAAAGCCAAAAATAGAGTGCATTATTAATTCAGAGGAACTGGGGCAGCCTGGGGGAGGGACAGGCACGCGGATTTTACTCCAGGCCTTTATAGAATGCTATTGTTCAGACTGGTCTCATGCAGGGAAAGCCATGGCCATAAATTGGAATGATGTCATTCCCTTTTTTTCCGCACTTGAGATGTCAGAATAGCCCCTGGACTGTCCATGACAGTTTGTTTGGGGTGGGCTAGGAAGTTAAGTCACATGTTATTGCTCATACTGAGAGTTCGAACAAATGCCTAGCTCAAAGTCTTAATCATCAGAGCATAATTCATCCCTGAACGTTTGTGCAGAAACTGTACTTCAAATTATGCAGTAAACTGTATGTTGAAAAGAGGTGTACTTGTACTTTCCTTAGTGATTGGACTAATTAGGCTATTTGTGCTCGGTGGATGATAAAAAATTTGGACAGACTTACACTGAAGGAGGGAACAGACATAAGCAGTTAGAAAGCACCTAGAAATGCCCTAGCAATGAATAAGAACATGCTAGCAACTGCATAGCAATATGCTAACATCACATTGAGTGTTGCACAAACACCACACTGAAAAGAATGGCTTTAAAACAATTTTCACTGTAAACCTTCACAAATAATTACAAAGAAACATCAAGTAACACATTTTTTAAGACAAACACATTCTTGTAAAACTCAGTAATCTTTACAACTTTTTTTATAGTGCATTTGCTTATAACGTAAAAAAAAAAAAAAGTACAAATCTAGGTTTATTACAAGACTGATTATGATTACAGATTACAAATTTGATTAATTTTTTCAAGCCATTTGTAATTTCACTTTTATTTAAACAAATATTATTTATTAATTTAATTAATTGTATTTCATTTTGTTTTTTGGCACACTTAAAATGTATACATGTCTAGATACAATGTCTAAATATCCTTAAAATCAAATAAAACTTACTTTAAATGCAAAACTGCATAAAGTACCAGTATCAACTGTTTTCTTGTTTTAAGCATAAATCTAACATATTTTTAAGGGAAATGCATCTGTTAAAGGGTAAATTTGATTGCATAGCCAAATCCATAAGCAATCATCCAGAGGTTCACTCAATGC